AAAACTGACATTGACTCTTCGAATTAACGCCCGAGGTGGAGGCGCGAGTTGATGTCGGAGTTGGAGGGACGCCGGAGTCGATTCCGTTGCTGGGTGGTAGTCCCACCCGGCATTCGGAAACGTACCGACTCCGCTACAGGTGTGCTCGACCCCTCCACCTAGGGCTCCACGTTTCCTCCTTCCGTTCGCTACCTTCGACGTTAATGGTCATTCCTGAACAAGTGACGGGATATCAACGATATCGAGTTAAGCGCCGTTTTGCTCCCCGGGCGGATGGTCCGCCTCGGAGGGGTTAAAGACTCGACTCTCCTGCCCGGGCGCGGAGTTCGCAACGGTTTAATGAATAATTACGCGCAATATACATTGTTATGACGCGGCCGAAAGGGGCGTCGGAGCAGGCCACTAATGGCCGCGCTACCGACGCCTCGCAGAGGTCGTCAGACGAAAAGAGTCGCGGTCGGCCGGTCGGAGGCTCGTAGGTGTGCGCCGTAGAGGACGGCCCCGGTCGCGCAGTGAGATTCCCATTTATCAAGGGACATCCGCCGGAAGTGGGGCGGCCCGTGCGTAGGTGAGAGAGGGAGGGAAGGAGATCCCGGGACGGAAGAGAAAGAAAGAGAGACGCCCGACGCGGTGGAGGCGCCTTGTCTCTCTACGGCCGCTTGTCTTGTATCGCTATTTTCGACGCCGAGTCGCTCGAAGGCCTTTCTCGCTATCTTTTATCGATAGCGCCGGTGGCTCTTCCTATTCAACTGAAATTTTGTGCAATTCCAATTTCTACGTTATACCGCGCGATAAGAACGAATTTGTTAATAGAAAAATGTAAATGTCCCTGAGAACATCGGTAAAAATCTGTACAAATTTTAGAGAGTTTCACCGTATGATGTTGCATTAACGCTACAGATTTGAGGCGATGATTTGAAATAGTATGCATTGAGTGTGGAGGTATGAACAAGTTTCGACTGTTATGGCATTTTACGGTTCCATAAATTGATTACAGATCGTACTTAACAGTGGGATATTTCCTGAATTTCCTTTAAATTGTAACGATCATCGAAGAAGCGTAATTTGTGTGCCAATCATTTATGTAGCTTGCGAAAGATTCATTTATTAATCGATTCAATTAGGACTGCGAATACCGTCGATGGTCTCTCAAAATACAATTTCGAGACATTAATAAGTTTACGCGATTATTCCAAGGGATCTAAGCGAAATCCCCGATTATTTGGAGTTTAAAAAGAACACTCTCGAATTGGAAAGGTCTAAGAATGGTGCTTGATGGGTTCTAGTACTGTATAATTACTTCCATAACACCACCGTTTTTTTACATACGTACTCGAAATATCGATTCCATTTAGCAGTGAAATAAAGGACTTCTGTGTAGGTACCCAATGACGCTTCGAGTACTCCTACGATGTTGCTCATTTTTATTTCGAGTACCATCGCTCCTGACTTTGGCGCACGTTTGTCCTAGAAATGTCGATAGTTTTTTAACGGCGAAACGGATCGCCGATAAAGAAAATAAGTACTTGTACCGTGGAACGGAAGCTCGTTTAACTTGGCGGAGCCGCGTATTTTCGGCGATTCGTCGGTGGGATTAATTTTCCAGGAGAGACCTGCATTCCGAGGGTTGATTGCCCGGTGCCGATCGATCCATGAATCTCCGAGTCGACCGATCGGCCGGATCGGACCGAATTCGGTTATATTAAATTCTTAATGAAAGATTCTTAAAATAACGCTTGCTCAGCCCCGAGGGCCGATATTCCCCGCGGGCGGTCGCGCCGGGGCGGGGGAATTCAGCCAATAAATACCACCGATTATTAAACAGATCCCCGGGATCCTCGGGACTTCCATGCTTAAAGCGGTTCCTCGTCGATCCGCTCCGTAGGGATCGTCCCGCTCCTCCGGGCGAGGCTCTTCGGCTACCGGATGCATATTGCATTCGCGGCTCCGGAGATGCGGCCTCCGCTCGGAAGAGGATCGCCGTCGATCGCGCTTTTTTGGAGTTATCATCGATCGATACTCCGTTTCAACGCCTCTGGGTGTAGAGGGTCTGCAAAGGCTCTAGCAAAGACCTAGGATGCCAAGCCGTCAATACAGAGCCTGTATCGGAAGGAGGATATCCTAGGGACGAGATGTGGGTCCTAAGGTGACCGAATAAAACAATAATCGGATACAATTGGATCGATGGTCACATTTTAAGCAGGCCTTAGGTGCTAATGGGCAAAGTCTGGAGAAAATCGTCTCGGGTGTCAAATTAAATCCTAAGTGGGTCTCGGCTCGGCGTAAAGCAAGGAAATTATTTTGGGTGCATGATCAATTCCTAATTAGGGTAGATTTAGGCTTGGAACGCGTCGCTTCAACGTCCGTTGTGGAAGTATGTTATGATCTATAGTTATGATCTATATCACCCGAGCGACGTGCGTCGCCTTTGTCATGATTACGACGTCCGTCGGAACGCACGTCGTTTTTGACGCTCGCGTGGCCTCGTTGTTAGTGGGAGACTCTCAATGTGGAAATCCTAGATACTGTCTAGGTATTTCCTGGGATTTCCTCCTCAGTTTTCCACACATGCCGTTCATCTTCGGGATCCACTTTCCGTGTCGGAGAACGGACGCGTCGCGGGTTTTCCCAACCTCCGAAATCAGTTTCCGAGACGATCTCCTACGTCCTGCTTGGCCTCGCTCGTCGCGGAGATCCTCCTCTCGCGTTTTTGTCCCACTCGGTGACACACGACAATGTATCCACTCTATCAGATCCTGCTATTCACTCGGGCGTTCTCACAAAGGGGGGAGTCGAACCCGGCCTCGCGTGGAACCGACCTCTGCCACCGTCTTTCAAGTCATCTCGCGACAGATGAATACGTTTATTACTTTACGGCAAGTATGTAGATTCGTCCTCGGGGACGACGCGGTGGAGTCCGTAAGCGCGTGGTATCGATCGATCGATCGCGACCGATAGATCTATCGGTGAACGCCCTCGCTTCCAAACGCGCAGTCCAAGTCGTAATTTCAAGCCTATTTTGAATCTGCGTAATCTGACTTCCATGGATTGTATTTGACTCTTTAAGTCCTACTTTTGGCCTTAAGCGTCCTCCTTAAGGTGATGTGAAAGTGACGTCAAAGAGGTTATGTTTATAAAACTTTTCTCCCAACTCAATTTACCGAATAGTTTGATACTTTACAACGTGAATAGGGAGACTATAAAGGAGGTCCTGAAACTCATGAAATTTCAATTATTTTCAAATTTCTTTATAGGTGTTTTAAAAATAGTTTATAAAAAAATGAAATTTCGCGAGTTTCAGGACCTACCTTAGGGTCTCCATATTCACGTTTTGAAGTATGGAACGATTTGAAACACCCAGTTCGTAGAAAAGTTTTATGAACGATTGAGCTTTCGGATGCCACTTTCACATCCCCTTAAGGTGGCGGTAAAGTGTCACATGAGGGGTCAATCGTTTATGAATCTTTTCTCCGCGTTACTGGGTGTATCAAATTTTGTTTGAAAGTCCATCTCGTGAACATGGAGGTCTCAAGGATGGTCCTGACACATATGACATTGCAATTCTTTTTATTAAAAGTAATAATAGTTTATAAATACATTTAAAAAGATTGACATGGAATGGGTATCAGGACCTTCCTTAGGGCCTTCGTATGCACGTGAGTTAAACGATTTGATGCACCCAATTCGGAGATAGGTTTCATAAACGAGAACCCTTAGGCGCCACATTCATGCCACCTTAACATAAATTACGTTCTACGTTAGGCTTACACCACAAACGGAACATCTCCCACTTTTAAGTGACAGATATTTTTATTCCTTCTAAGTAAAAGGAATAAAAATAGTACTAAGTATATACTAAATAGAAGGAATAAAGTTATAGGACTAAAGTTGGACTTAATTCGTATTAACTAGAACGTACAAGTCGAAAACACGATATAAAGAGACAAAGAGGTCTTAGGTTCAAAGATGGCCTAAAATTTCGACTTCCTACCTTCGTAACATCTCAAAGTCCATTCGAGGCATACGATTAGCGGTTCNGAGCGGCAAATTTTTTCCGTTTCAAATACTGAGTACTGGCGAAAATAATGAAATTCTGAAACTGGTTGCCGGAAACTTATATCGCGTATCGTTATGGACGTGATTCACGTCAGCGGCAATCTGGAATGGAATTTTAAATGACGTGGATTCACGTCAGCGGCAACCAGGAATTGAACTTGAAAAGACGTGAATTCATGTCAGCGGTCGCGAATGTGTCAAGGAGGGATGCGTCCTGTTAAAAGGAATCTTTATGTATTTGCGAAACTTGCTTTGGAATAAAATGGAAAACTTTGACCTCATTCGTGAATTTACAATTATGGTATGTTATGCTTTTAACGGGGAAAAGCGTATATATGTATGATCAGCCGGTCCACTATCACTAGTTCGCGTTCGTTCATTTCGCCGATATGTGGAAAGGGGTACAGCGGTTCAAGGATTAATTAAATCGACACATCGAATTTGTAGCGTTGGTACGACTTTACATACTAAACTTATATGAAATTTCTAAATCTTTTTACCAGGGTGGACTTTTTTTACCAGGTGGTTTACTTTTAGGAATTTGTTGAACCTTTTTCTCGTTCTACCGAACGGTAAATCAATCTTTAATATATATGGTATGGATTACATTTTAGCGCACCCAAGATCTAGTTCGCGTAATTCGTACTTTCGTACAATGCGATAAGATAACCAGGAATTACCGCGATGATCCGAGTATATGGTTGTCTTTCTATTTATAAAAGCGTAGGGTATAATTATAAGCGTTTCTTTATCTTTTCCTATCCCTGGTAAACGTAATACAGAATTATAAATTCTGCCGATTTCACCTTTATCGCCCCGACTGCGTTACACGCGTCTAAGTTGTCGGTCAAGGGTTAAGATGATCGCGCGTGCAAGCTAATTTTAAAATGATCATAAAACGATTTTTAAACACCCTCGAGTAACCTCGATGAATTTCCTTCCAGGAGAACATCTCGACCTTGGAGCCTGCCGACATCACCGAGGACGATCATTATTCAAGTGAGTGGACCTTTTGAATTTCAATTACACCCCCCCCCCCCTTTTCTCCCACTCTCTCAACCGAGAGGGTTGAATCTTAAATTGCGACTCTTCCGACTTTAGTTGAGGAATTATCAGCTAGATAAGGGGGGTATCGGAAACGTTTTCGTATATCACCGGAGGGACTTCCTCGGAGCCTCGTACGAATTTTTGAGAAACGTCACTTCCCGTCATTTGTGTTCTCCACCAGCACTCGTCCCCCTTTTCCGCGTACGTGCCACGGCTGTTCGCAATGACAAGACCTGCAATGTCAATTGCACATTCCAAACCCACCCGAAGTGACGTTGAGATCTCGCGCTCGCAAATGGCGTCATCGAAGTACACGCACTCACGTATGACCACATAACCGTGCACACACCTATGCACATTTGGGAACCGAGGACACTGTTACGTCCCACATGACGCACTCTAATTTCGCGATAATAAGCGTCTAAAACATTGATTGTCAGATCACTTAGCAGTTTTTATTCTTTTTATAACTTGTATTCCGTATCATGCGTGCGATCGAAACATATTAGAATTTAAGTAATCTACGTAGAGGAGAGCGATAAGAGATAGCGTTCTTTAATCCTCCAATCCTTTGACAATGCGGAGACCGGATCTGTGATAGGTCAATCTTAAGCTCTGAATTTTATTCTCTAGTTCTTTTTCCAAAATTCGTCGCGTTCACTCGTATCAAACTTATTGTTAGTCTCCCTTATTACAATTTCCTATCGCCAACGATACTTTTTCTAAGTCCACATTGCCAGATCAATTCTTAAGTTCTTCATCGATTTCCTTCTAAACACCTAGTACTTTCCATTACTTCTCTTTATTCCTCTTTCTCTCCAATTTATGTTCTTTTTTAATAAACTGGAATAATTTATGGCAAATTCAATTTCATTTCTTCCATACTTATTAACCATAAGTTAGGTCCCTACTGACATTAACTCTAACTCCGATCTCGCCTAAGCTCCACCGTCTGAATCCTCTTCCTATCGTATCTTCTTCTTTTCTTTTTCTTAACGCGTGAGGGCTTGGCACCCCCCTCCCCCTCTGCATCATATCCTTCCTTTACTTCTTTAGTGCGTGAAGACGCGGAGCTTGATATCGTTCCCCTTTTGCACAACATCCTACCACTACCATGACACGTCAAGGTGTGGGGCTTGGAATGGCCTTCCCTCCGTATCTCCAAATTTTCCCAAATCTAAAGACAAGGCAAGAGGCGTTTGGTAACGTTAATAATTAATCTTTGCATGGCGATTCGTTTCCAACACACTATATGTCGTCAAAAATGGCGGCAGCGTCCGAACATATGTGCCCATAATTATGAAAGTGGTCTAAGTCATATATTTTTTGTTTCGAAATTACATTGAATTAATTTCGTTTGAAATAATATGGCGTGAAATAACTGATAAACTCATTTTTTTTTTTAATATTGACTTAGACCACTTTCATAATTATGGGCACATATGTAATAAGGGACCTGAATAATTCCAAGACACGTTATGGCGTCTTAAGGTGGTTCCGATAACAAATGAAAATCTTGTCTTCAAATCCTTTCTTATTTTCACTATCTAAATGTAACAATGCACCTGGGCATTTTGTGACGCGAATGACGGCGTTTTAATTATCTCATGAAGGAAAATATGAAAAACTGAGGTCCATTTAATTGAAATCTTACAATGTATTGATATTCAGATAGTGAGTGAAAGATGGAGCGAATATCTTATTGTCTAAAATGGACTATGAATTGTGATTTTAATTTTTGATTTTATTGTTACAATCGATTTTGGAAACGCACATGCGTATCGAGGAGAACATGAGGATGTTGGAGGCACGGAAAAGTTCTGGACAATTTACATTGACGTCATGAACGAACAATCTGAATGAGCTTGCCTGCGTCAAAATTTAATTCGTTTAGTGTGGCGTAATCTCGTCCACGTTTGAGGAAATACGAAGTCAGGGGCACGGTTGAAAAATTGGAAATAGCAAATTGTTCGACACTACACTATCACATGTATTCACATTTCATCGATCTCACCCTGTCCGCCTCTCGGTGGCGTTTCTTTCAAGCACTCGTAAAACCGCTGAACACCGATTAACAAAAGAAAAAAATACAACTTTTTGCCCGCACGTTACTTTGTAAAACACGTGGCGTTTAATTCAGCGGTCTAGATTCCTACGTACGCGCCAAATGGCATTAATAATGTTGGTTTAACACCATTCGAGGTACGTGCAGGTGCTCGGTCAACTTAACGCCACATTTTTTCTACACGGTGGTGTGGGCGTGTGTGTTCTTACTCGTACGAGACGTCAAGGGGCACTGCGAAAAAAAAACCACCTCCCACGCTAACACCGAGCTGTTTAGCAAAATTACATGCATAATTCCGCTAACTTTTATAACCGGCCCTGTATACCGTAATTAAGTTACGTGCGCGGTACGGTTTCATTGAAGCGACATTCCGCTCGCTCTACGTGCGATGGTAACACCGCTTACCGAATTTGGGGAGAGAGGTTCCCGTTTTCAGAAGTTTCGACATTTCAGTCCTTTCCGAAATCGGTATCTGGAATGGTCGCTTCGCCGATTCCGGGTGGGATTGTCGTAATCGGGGGTAAGATCGTAGTTTTTGTTTCCCTTCCGAGCCTCTCCCTGAATTTGGCCCTCTAACTTAGACTCGTACGAGTAAAGACTTCCGGTCGGGTGCATCCTTATATGAGTAAAAAAAATCACTTTCTACAATAAAGAAAAGAAAATCGTAGTTTTTGTTTCCCTTCCGAGCCTCTCCCTGAATTTGGCCCTCTAACTTAGACTCGTACGAGTAAAGACTTCCGGTCGGGCGCATCCTTACATGAGTAAAAAAATCACTTTCTAGAAAAAATAAAAATGATATTCTTGTGCCGAATAAATTATTACTGGCTACTGTCAAGGAAGAAAGACTAATTTCAAACAATGCTCAATTTTCTTCAGCTTGGCTTTACCAAGTCTGACTCATTGTCGTTATATACTCTCTGCATAAACGTATTAACATGAAAGGTTAATTCACTTCAAAGACTGAGAGACTTCGAAAGAATGAATAATATTCTTGCAATAAACTAGAATTTAATAGATTTATCAGTACATCAGACGTTTTCTCTCAAACTTTTGCCAGTACTTTCTGGTGACAATTCTTGCATCAATCTCAAACAATATTTGCTGTTCATTATTTTTGATACCAAGTACTAAGTTCAGTTGATTACAACATTTTATCCGAAAAGTGATATAACTTTCATTAACATGTTCAATATTGGAGATAAGTTTCGTACATAAAATTCTCATTGCAAATTCATTTCCACTTGATGCCAACGTCCCGACATTTGGGTGTTGCGACCCTGACGACTGTCATAAAAAATAAATTTTGCTGGAGCCAAGAAATTTCTTCTGAGAATAAACATTTAGGCTGTCGTGAAGAATTGATCTTGCCTAGAAAGTGATTTCTTTTCGCTCGATCTAAGGGGTGCACGCGACCAGATCGAGGAGCTGGAGACCAATTGGCACTTTTGATTTCGGCAGGCGCGCTCATGAAAGACGCCGATAAGGTGAAGCTGATGCTGCTTGCGTGGAATTATAATCTTCAGCAGCGGGCTCAGGCTGAGGCGCAAGCTGCGATCGCGGCGGTCGTCTCGCCAAATAACTCCTCGACAACCACAGCCACCACCATCGGCACACCTGTCACCAGCCAATCGGCCATTTCCACGGCAAACAACACCATTAACAACTCCACACTCACAGGTAACACCTTATTTCACGAGTCAGGCCTCGGTTCCGCCTTTCGTTCGAATCGAACCGCCGAGTCCGGGAATTGGGGGAGTCACTTGACGTCGATACGAGTGTTCGATGAAGGGTCCCACATAGTAAATTCACGCGATCTGGACATAGGTTAAAGTTATCTCGACGACACGTAGGTAAGATCCGCAGGTGACGATCAAGAACTGGGGAAAGCTGGACTGTTAACACGTTCCGTGCCACGTGTACCACCGATAATACGCGTTAACCTCGGCTGGTACACGGCGTGGCACGGAACGTGTTAAAAAAATTTATAAAATTCATACACTTTTAGCACATAAGGTTCCAGTGAAATTATGAATTTGACGTCTTAATAGTGAGTTAGTGTACATTTATTACGAAATTCTAAGTCAATTCACAGTTTTATAACACCGTGATGTAATTTCGTGAAATTGGGAGTGTCACTTGAACGTCGATACGAGTGTTCGAAAAAGGGTTGGAACATATGTGAAATTTTATTTGTTTGCAGAAAAACGTTTAACATCAAGTGCCGATCAACAGAAATGTATAACATATTATAAATTGATTACACATATGTGCTAAATGTATAATATATGTAATACATTTTATTTGAAAATATGCTATAAAATTGGTATACCATGTCTGAATAAAACTTCCAAGAAGAATCTTATAAAATTATAATACTTTTTTTAACAGGGTGGATCGACTTGAATTAAGCGGAGGAATTAAATGGTAATTACGGAACGTTTCATCTACCGAACATAATGGTTCCACTATGTTCAGTAGATGGAACCGTTGAAGACCGGACAGTCGATGATACACTTTTAGGACCGACGGTCGGCCCCGACGCGAAAGTCCAGAGGGAATTTGTCTTTGTTAGAATTCGGGAGGGAAGTTTGGCGCGGGAAGAGCGATCCGGGTCCATTGGACTCATTCGGAGTTTCGGGAAAATTGATCGAAGTTGCGGATTCCCTCGGGATCGGCTCGCCTCTTCCGCCCAAAGGACCCAGGGGCAAAGGAGTCGGAACGTGCGACTCGCGCGGAAACGAAGTTCCATCCGGGAATCGTAAGGTCCATTGTCGCCGGCACCGTGACTGAACGGGTTTCGGATCCTTACGGGGTTTGAAAGGGAAATCCTAAGTGTGCGAGCCCTTAGTGGGAACCAAGTGGAGCGACGAGAGTTGCGGGGTTGCGGCGGCCCGTTTCGGCGTTTAAATCGAGAGAGGGTTGGAACGAGAGTCGAAGCTCAAAGAGGGAAGGACCTCTTCGCAGGCGCGAGAAACGGGGACGAAGATGTCTCGTTGCGAGGGACGCGCCGGTACTTCACGTGGCTTATCCCCTTGGTCCCCTTTTAGGGTACCGCGGACACGGTTACGTTTTCACCAAATCCCTGGCTCGCGTCTAAACTGCATATTTTCAGTTATCGGCCAATTTTGCGTACCATTTCGTCTTCCTTCGTTTGATCGAGCTGGAATTGAAAAGGGGGAAGATGCAGGAGGCATTCACAGGGAATACTTTAACGAAGCGAAAATTGCTCCCGAGAGCCAGAGGTCCAGTCGACCTCGGTCGTCCGTTCGAACGCGGGGAAATTAGCATTTCCAAAATAGGGTCCCGGGGTCTTCGAGTTCCCGGACGAGCGAGCGACGGTCAGGTACCTCTCCGCGTCTCGGTCGACGACCCTACGCGTTGCCAAGGGAGTCTAAGCGTTTGGCGCGTCTGTCACTCTTCGCGGAGTTCCCCTACAAAAGGACAAAGAGCGCGGCATGTCAGAAGTTTCGAGGGTATGCATTACGTCCAGAATCGTATTACTCGAACAATCCGAGCTAACCATCCAGGACGTAACGTTGCACGGATTCTCTTTCCCTCCTCCCCGTCCCGAGCCACCCTCTGTCGCAAATTCAGGAGTTCCCTCGGCCGGATGCCCCGCGGGATCGGGCCGGAGTTCCTCGGTTAGGCGAGGTTACGGAAGGATAATTCACTCCCGGCCTCCTCTCCCGCGGCTCTTCCCTCCGGCGCGTTTCTCTCTCTCTCTCCCTCTCTCTCCCTCTCTCTCCGGATCCAGTACCCTCTCTCCGCGACTCGAAAACTGGTTCCACGGGCCTCTATCAGCGGGGCCTGGCCATTGCGTAACGAACCGGCCATCGGCGAGGAGACGTACAACAGATGGCCACCAACCATGTCCCTCTCTTTCTCTCTCGTTCTCCCTCCGGTCCCGGCTCTCCGTGGGTTCTCCAGAGAGAGAGAGAACAGGCCTGTCCCCGTTCTCCCTCCCTGGTCCCGGTCCTCCACCGTGGGGCCCCCTCGGGTACTCGAGGTGGTCCCGAAGGAGCCCCGCGTTGCCGCTGGTACCCCCAGGGTCCCGGTGCTCGAGACGCTCGTTACTCCGGGTACCGACCCACCGTCCAAATCGCGAACATCTCGGTGGCCCTGGCCCCGGAAGAGAGATCTCCGCGAGGTACCTCCCAACTTGGGCTCGACCAGCGGCTTGGCTAAACTCGGGGCGAAAGAGTGCCGGGGCACGTCGAGACCTTTACCGGTTTCCTTTTGCGGGGGATCGGGTCGAGAGGATGGAAAGCCTCGTCGCGGGGTGGGGCGCGATGGCTCGATCTCGCGGTTTCAGGTTCAGCTCGCGGCGGCCTACGAGGCCGAACCTCTCCGGGGAACGGCCACGGGGGACCGGAGGATCGGCAACCGGCTTTCTAGCCGGATAGATTATACGTGTACCATCTGTGCCCACACGCGAGTACCCGTACTTGTACGCGAGTCCGCTCCTTTGCTCCTTTAGCGATATCGGCTGGCCGCTTCGTGCCGCGGGTTGGACCCGGTTCCTCCGCTCTGCCACCGAGACGTAGGTGCCCCAACCACCGGGGCGGGTACCTCGAGCTCCGGGATCGAGTCTTCTCGAATCGGCCCGGGGAAGAGGGTATTAGGCGACGCAATGAACCGCGAGGCACCGTATGATCGCGATCAGGGCACAAGATGAGCAAATCACGGGTAGACGAGGCAGTAATTAGCGCACAGCGACCAATCCTGCCGATCTTCTAGTAGGGCACCCATTACGAGTGGACCTCGGTTGCCGGGCATCTTTCTGTCCGCGGTACTTGCGAAAGCTCGCATGGACGCTCCGTTAGACGTCTAAAAGTACTCAAAGATTTCCGTGCGTTTGGCTAATCGGTATCCGATAGATATCGAGGACGGCGGGCGTTTGAAAAGTGGTCAGTCGGTCGGAAAATCGATCTCCACTGCTGCAAGGTCGAGCGACTTGGCTCGAATCGGTGCCGAAGGGAGTGCTCGAGAAAGAGCGAGAGGAGCAGAGGCCGATCCGGATCGGTCCGCTCCCACGTTCCCTAAAAGCATGCCTCCCTCCCGGCGGCTCTCCGCCGCTCACATCCCACGCTCCACGCTCCGAGCCCCACGTTCCACGTTCCTCGTGTCTCGATCCCGGTGGGCCCCTGCACTCATTCCCGGGGCCCGTCGTCCTCGCGTCCACCGACACCGGGACCACTTTGTCACGGCCGTGTTCCGCGGTTCTTCGGTTCTCCGGTTCTCGGGCCAGGAGTGGGACTCGGGGTGGGAGTGGGCCCGCTGGTCGAGGAGGGGCCCAGCGGGGAGTATTTTATGTCGTCCAATTGCGGCGCAGCCCTGGGCTAGAAGAAGTCGGCAGGCCGGGTAGCCCCTTTACGGGGCCCGGGGCCCGAGGCACTCCCTGTCCTGGACCGAGTCGAGTTCTCGCAGCCTCCGGCCCACCCGGTGTACCTGTCCTTGTCGACATCCTTGTGAAAGCACCTTTACGATACGTTCTCCTTGCGGGGATCGCGGTGGGGCCCGATCGGGAGTCCCCGGCGGGAGGAAGACGGAGAGGGACTTATGGGGTCCCTTCGAGAGGAGGAGGGAGGTGCCGATCTCCGGTTATTGCTTTTAGGGCTGGAAGGGAACCGAGGCCCTTCCTAACTCCATCTCGAGGCACGTCTTTATGTAGGAATCTCTAGGAAGGTCCCGTCGTGACGAAATCCTCCGCGTCGTGGAAGATGAAGTCGGTGACGTCACTTGGGCGTGGAGGACCGCGAAAGCCGTTAAAGAGGGGCTCGATCCTCGAAAGGACTTATCAGCGGGGAATTTTTTCCTCTCCGAACCGGCGATTCCGCTAGTTTAGTGGCCAAGCACGTTCCGCAGCCTCGAGAGAGACCCACTTACGACATTGGGGGCGACGGAGCCGATGATGTCATCTGGACGTGGAAGTGCGCGCGAAAGCGGCCGAAGGCTCGATTCCCGAGATCGTTCCCGACGCTCGCCTTGGCGTGGAACGATCGACGCTCTTGGGATCTTGTCGCTCGTCGCGTTTCTTCTCGATCCTCGGAAACCCTGTCGGCGGGTAGGGCTCGGAAACTGGATCGCCCTCGAAGCTCGTTCGAAGCCATCGGAGGCGTCGGCGACGTGGCCGAAGCTGGTTACGAAATAATACCTTTGCCTCTTCCTCGTTCGGCCCCAATAAGTGGCGTCACGCAGGCAAACCGCGCTCCGTTTTTGTCATTACTATTCATAACATAAATACCACCCACGTGTGCCTCGGCGAGGGTCTGCATCGATATCGGAGGATGGGCCTTTTTGCCATAGAAGAGATGATTTACATTTCACCCTTTACCTTTTGCATTCCCCATGTATTCATCCTAACGAATTATCGCAATTTATTCCGTCAAGTATTATATATGACGTCAATTTTCTTAGTCAATGCCACTTGCTCTTTTTAAACTTGAAGGGTTGTTTGCCCTCGAGTTTCATGATATCGCTTTGGCATTAATATCCATTATTTTTTTTATTTCAGACTCAAGGAACGGCACGACGGAACTGGGCGAGCTCAGCGGAGGATCCGTCCCGAGTCTGGGGAGCGTCGCGGGCGTCGGCGGCGAAGACATGGCGTCTCTTTGGGCGTCCTATGCGATGGGCCTCAAAAAGACGCCGCCACCGGCCTCGTCGGGGACCCCCTCGAGGTCCGACCGGGATCGGGAATCCAGTCCTGGCGGGGGGGAGGGTACCGGGAGCGCCCATGACGAGACCAGCAGCAGCGGAAACAAGGAGGACGAGGACGACGACGACGAGGATGCCGACGAGAGGCTAGACCCCAGACACCACGACCCCGAGCGTCTCAAGGCGTTCAATGTGAGTCTCGGCGATTCTCAAAATAGCAACATCTATTGACGTTGCAGACGTATCATTTAATAATCGACCCGACGTTAGGGCTCGTGGACGTCGGGTTGTCGTTAGACGAGGAGCCGACTCGCCTTCGTAAGGGCTGCGCGACCGGTCGCGCAATTGATGCAATTCATTTTTTACAGACGTCGGGTTACGTAGGGCTCGAGTACCGCTCAATCCTTCTGCGAGTTGGCACTTCCCACTTGCTTCGTGGTCTTGCGCGTTGGCGCAACGATTTCGCAATAATTCTAAGCGCCCGTCCGACTCTTTGAAATTGGCTGCGAGATCGCTCGCAGATGGTTGTTTGAAGAAATCCCCCGAAGGCCGCGCTCCTCACTTTTTCTGGGATCGGGTCGGTAGAGAGAGAGACCCTCGGGTCTTCGGCGTAGAACATTTTCGAGAAGCAAGACTCGAATCCTCTCCGTCGTCCTGATCATCTTTTTGCGTTCGCCACCATCTCGCTCGTTTCCATGTCATCCGGGGCCCCGGTCTCTCTCCCTCTTCCCTTTTCTCGTTCTCGGTGTGTTATTTTTCTGAAGCGTGTTGCCGGTTCCTGCAGTCGGCCCCGAGCCGTAACGGGCGCTGCTGGTAGTGTGCTGCTTCTTAATTAATTACAATTAGTTTAATAGAGCCCCGGTGTGCTCCCCTCCACGGGGAAATTCTTAATTCCTTAAGCACCGCCGCTAAGTACGACTCGTTTATCATTCTACCCTGACCGTTCTCCGGCGGTCGTTCCTGCAGATGTTCGTCAGGCTCTTCGTCGACGAGAACCTGGACCGCATCGTGCCCATCTCCAAGCAGCCCAAGGAGAAGATCCAGGCGATCATCGACAGCTGCACCAGGCAATTCCCCGAGTTCGCGGAGCGCGCCAGGAAGAGGATCAGGACCTACCTCAAGAGCTGCCGGAGGAACAAACGCGGGAGGGAGGGCGCGCCCTGGGACGCCGTAAGTTCACGGATTACCCGCGCTATTGTTTATTAAAACACGCTCTTTATTATTAACTTCTTGGACTCTCGAAGTATTCCCGCAAAATCTCATTTCAACGGATGAAGATTATAAAGAGCCAAGGTTGGCATGAATACGGTTTTTTACAAAAAGCGGTTTAAACCATATTTACTGGTTTTTACTATCTAAATCTTTATCTAAAAACAGTGGTTAAAACCTGGTTAAACCATATTTAAACCATATTTAAACTGGGTTCTTTTTATTGTGTTATCCCAAGGATGCGCAGGATTGAAAATATGTTTCAATGCGATCTACACCGTAGATAGTTTAGAATTTATTTTAATTTGTTTGGATGTGATCGAAGCGCACGTGCAAGTACAGGGTGCGTACGATATTAAAATAAATTCTACGCCACATACATCCTGATGGATTTTATAAGACGGTCTTAACCGGTTAAAACCCTGAGCAAAACCGAGGTGTTTTTATGTAATGTATTTTATTTACTAGGAAAAAAAAAAAAAACTGAAAAATCCGCTGGTTTTAACCGGAATGGGTCAAATTTTTCCAACCCTATAGAGAGCAAAGTTCCATAGCGTGAAACATGAAAGAATGAGTAATCCTGTTAAAGCTCCGATGGATCGAAAATTCCCGTAAATTCTCAATGCTTTAATTACTTATTTTCCCGAAGAATATCTACCCAAGGGTCTTAAAAACCATCCCGATAGAATCTTAATTGTAGTTAAGCGCAGTTCCTTTTCTTTCCTTCTACTAACCCTTTGCACTCGGTTGTCCCCTCAGAGGGGGCATTTTAAGCCTAGATGGGATGGCACCGAGTGGAAAGGGTTAAGCATCTATGAGTTTAATCGACACGTCTAATCCGGAAGATAATTAAAATCGAGGGGTTCTTGGGAACGATAGATTCCATCGACGCCTCGTCCGCGGTTGATTTACGGTACCTGTACTTAAATAACCGTGACAAGCAATGGGCCCCGTTTTTCGGAGCACTTTATGCTCTTCTTCCCTCCCCCCGGACTCTCGGGGCAAGGCAGGACTGATGTCGCGTTTGTCGTTTCAGGCGAGGCCGACCCCGGCTCATCTGACGTCGGTGCAGGCGGAGCAGATTTTGGCAACAGCCTGCGAGAACGAGAGCGACAACGCGAAACGCATGAGGGTCGGCTTGGAACCAGTCTCCCAGCCCATGCCCACGCTCCCAGCGGCCACGGTGAGTACCGGATATTTCTTTACGGCCCGACGACCGATCCAGCGATATACATCGGAACGACGCGGAGGACCACCCTGGAGGTCCCGCTCGCGTCGAGGAAAAGGGACGTCGAAAGGGGCGGCCCCCGGGTCTTTCCGACGTGGGCGCGCGATGGAAGGTCCCGGACGGCCGCTCCATGGAAATCAAGAGAACGCGGCGTTTCCAAGTCAGGCGTACGGGGACCGAGCTAGGATTGATATAGGTACAGTGAGACCGGTGATAACCCGCGGGTCGCGCACCTCTCCCACTCCTGGACCACGCACATCACACATGACCGCCGTTTACGCGCTCGCTCGCTCGGACTGCGACGGATCCACGTACGTCGGTACGGGCTGGGACTTTATTTTTCACCCGGTTGGACGTTTACCCGAGGCTTTTGCCACGGGCGCGCGGACGCCTCGCCGATATCGGCGGCGCGTCGCTCATTCGGTAGCCTCGATCTCGCGGAATCGGGCCACGTCGCGAGATCGATCGCTCTTCCGAGAATCCCCGTTGCCGTCTTTGGTCGCCCGTTCGGTGTATCTGAACTCCTCGAGATAAGTCCCGGTAACGGGAGACGCAACGCGAGACTCGCGAAGACCACGCTTCGATCTTCCCGGTCAAAGTCGTTTCCACGCTGGTTGTGGTTGGGCGTACGGCACCGTAGATGCAGGCGTGGTTGTTTGTAATTAATTTAACGGATTTTAGATACGGCTCGATGGGTAGATAGCGGAATTTTAAATACTTTTACCGCTGGAATATCCATGGATCGCTAATACGTTTGGTGAGGTTCGCGTTGATGGGGTTATTTCATGGAAGGCGATTTTTCCCGAAAGCGATGGATCCAGGAGTATGATATGGGAGATGTAGGTGTATATCCATTGTTGTGTTTCGTCCCGGGTCTGCCTGTGGACTCGTCAGTGAGGCTATCAGGCAGAACCTGCCTTAGACCCCGAAACATTTCTTCTGAGCGGGATTCGAACCCGAGAGACCACGCGGTACGAGCGGTGAACGTAATCGCTGGGTTATCGAAGGCTCGGGTAGAAGTGAGAACTTCTGAGATATATATGCTATGACTGTCACAATGAATTTTCTTGAAACTAGGAGAAAAGGATGACATTTGCCCTCCTAGTAGCTGGTTGGGGGTAGAGTCGATTCCTGGTGGCCCCGGAACTCCACCGGCGTGGTGAACTCGGCAGGCGGACGATTTTCGATTTTGTCTCTGACTAGGCCATCCTGGTCGGCTTCATCCGGGCGCCGCTCCAAAGAAAGCTCCTCCAGTTTAAGATCTCGTTTAATAGTCCGCAACAACTGAGTCGAGGGTGGCGAGCGAATAAGGGCCTCGTTTCCTCCCGGCTCCGGTCGGACTCCGGCGTCCGCGGCATCCCCGGCATCCCCGGCATCCCCCGGTCCGAGGACACGGGATACAGGGTTATGGCTGCGTCGGGATCCCTAGTGGTTCCCATCGATTATTCGGGCAAGAACGGGTTACGCTCCTCCGAGGCGACGCGGCTCTCCGCGAGCGAGGGAGAGAGATAGACAGCCCGGACTCGAGAGCTCCGAGTATCTACTCTGAAAATCCCTCCGGGAGCCGATAACCTCCGGCGACCTAAACCTAACCCATTAAGGAGACCTCTACGCAGTCACTCCGGAGCCGGCTATCTGCCGTGCCACCTATATAATTGACGTCAACGCACACTGCTCGCCTTTCATAAAAACACCTCCCTACATCCGCTCCAAGATTTCATCCTCCCCGTCACCGAGGAGAGTCCGTATCTCCGCCGGGAGAGGCACCACCTCCGGGCCCTCCTTTTTCTCAATTCTCCGTCAACTTGCTTACGAGCCGACTTTACCAGCCGCAGCGTCTGCCATTCCGTATCCTGCACTCCGTCCGGCCCGTGGCCGTCTTCTTCGTCGGCGTCTTCGTCCTCGTCGCCATCTTCATTTCGGTCCCCTGGACGGGCCCCGATCGGTCGATCCTCGCCGAGACTCGCGCGGAACGAGAAGAGGGCATCGCCGATGCAGGGATCCGAAGAAAGCCGCGCAGAAGGAAAGATAAGATTCAAGAAGCCAGATTAAGGAAGGAAACGACCGGGGAGGGGAACGGTGCACCTCGGTCGCTTTGCGGCTCTTCTTCGCCAGGAGATACTTTGCCATTTGGGTGACCCTCGTCTGGTGAGGACGCGAAATGAGCATCGGCGACGTGCTGACGACCGGAGGAGGAAGGATAAGATCCAAGAGCCGAGATTAAGGAAATAAGTGGCTAGGGAGGGAAATAGTGCGCTCGGTGTTGGCCACTTTGACGCTCGTCTTGCCGTTTGGGTAATATTTACCGAGCCCGGTGACCCTGGTGTGCCCGGGAAAACCGTGTCGGTGATGTGGCTGTTTGGAGGTGCTCGTGGTGGAAGGGACGCCCGGCTCGAGATTCAAGATTGCGAAGAGATCGGCCAGGGGCAACAGGGTGGAGGTGGAGGGATAGTGTGAGTCTTCCTGGTCCTTTTGACTCCTGGACGTCTTTAACTCTTCCCTATCTGGATGATCCCTGCCGAGACAGGAGGCAAGGACGAAGACGAAGCGCCGGTTGACTGGGATCGTCAGCAAGAAGAGCAACGTGATCGATTCGCGATCCATAAGTATAAAGAGAAATTGAGAGAAGAAGGTGGAACGTTTCCCCACGTCTCGAGATATCTTCCGAATGGAAGTGCAAACGGGATGAAGACGTACACGAGGCGCATGATCGGCGGTGATCGACGTCGATCGGGAGCACGTTCATAGTCGGGGTGATCATCGATGCTCGATAGGAGAAACTATCGACCGGGGACGAGTCACGCCGGCGGACTTTAAGGGCCAAGATGAGGAAGAAGAACTTGAGGGTCATTCACAAGCAGGTGTACGATCAGGCTCAGGTTCAACAGGTATCTTATCCGTGACTTGCGTAGTGCCTTCTTCTATGGATCCTCAAGGACACTCCGGTTGGGTCGTGTTTCCTAGATCAACCATTACCGCTCGACCTTCGTCATCTTTTACGGAGCTACTTATCCGCATTCATCGATCCCCCCGACGTGCACGCATCGACGCTAGGATAAATAACTTCATCGACTCGGAGCTTGCCAGTATACCCGATTGCGTTATTTCTTATCCCGAGGAGGAGAAGAAAAAAAATATTAGAAAAGCAGCGTTTCCTTGTTTCGACACGACGAGAGAAGGAAACGTTACCATAAAATCCAAAGACGTTAATCTTTTATTGCTCCTGCGTGTTTTCAAACCCATAAGAATAATTAGGCTCACCGGTCTCGCAAGTCAGGTTACAATGTACCAGTTCAGGGTTACGGATCGTACATGTAGGTATAGATGTTCCCGTTCGCGTCTCGGTGCGCTTGATTTATGGAAACTCCGGGCTCGTTAACCGAGTCTCACCTGGAAAATGATCCTGTTATATCTCCGTCGTCCTTATACCCATGGAACGACCGAGTGAAAGAACTCAACCCCGGGTCTCTACCTTGAGAATGGAACGACTCGCGCCTCGTCGCCTCGGCGTCCGTCGAAGTCCACCGCGACGCGCTCGATAAGAGATCGCGAAATAAGGCGCACTTATTGGAGCGCGACGCGGAAAAATCGGACCAGCCGATAATTCCCACATTCTTGGGGAACGGTCGGAGGATTTCCGCGGAATCGTTCGAGCTGCGAGATTGCCGCGAGGTCGCGAGGTGGTTCCTCGGTGGGAACGCGGTTCCACGTTTAGGGGGCAATGCCGCGTCCGAAGAACTCCTCCTGCCTTTAGTTACAATTATCACCTTTACTTTTGGTGTTAAGCAATTATTCTGGCGCCGGGTGATTATGATATTTCACTTCTGGGTGATTGTTTCCTCTTTACTGCCCGTCTTCCACGTTTTCCCGCCTTAATTACGTTCTTCTATTTCTGCATCAACAGCAAACGGACGTGAGATCGAGTTTGGACCACTTCTCGGGCACGCCGGTAAAGTCACTCCCTGGCAAGCGCGAGGACACCCCTCCGGCCCCGCTCACCTCTCTGGCACCCCTCACCAGTCTGGCCAACTTGCCGAATAGCACGCTCACCTCGACGCCTCTCTCTCTGGCCCCGGCATCGAAGCTTCTCACTCCCACGGACAACAAGGGACTCATGAGGTTGGTACATATCATGGATCAAGGAAGAAAGGGATGGAGGGTATCGCTGTGGGTGTGAAATTCAAGAAACAAAGGGAAGAATCGACTATATTTCATTGCTAGCGTTATGGCTAGTTTTACACGGATGTAAAAACAATTTCAAGTACCCGGTGACCGTTACTGAAATTTGTAGTTCTTACTGTGCCCTTAAGGTGAAGTGAAACCCACCTCACATCAGTTGATTCGAATAAGACACTATTTTTTAAGGGTATTGGATCGAACTGCCCGAAACTTTGACAAATGACTCATGAACACCCAAGAATTCTCCTGACACTTTCGAAATTTGGATTTTCGAGCTAAATTTTTTCTTTATAATTATTGTACGGAAAGGACATATGGAGTACGCCATTTAATACAATACTCAATATAATTCGACGCGACTGTTGACATAAATTCAAACATCAGAAACGTAGGTATTTAGAAGAATCTTTTTTACCGACGCCAAGGAAATTTCTCGACGTGTTTCACTTCACCTTAACGTTCTGCTGAATAGACCGGTCATAAATACAGGATCGCGTATGATGACCGACGTAGTTGCTTTTTCTAGGGTCTCGAGCTCTTCAGTTCTTGAGTTTAGAATTTATCTTTGAACTCCATCCCTTTCTTCCTAGACTCATGGGACCCAAGTTTCTCAACGTGTGAACGGTTTGGATCTCGAGTGTTTCTTGTTTGGACTGAAATCTGAATCCCTGTTATTTTTTTCTTCTTTCAGCCAGGCGACGATAGTCAGCTCGTCGTCGGTTAATGGTGTCGGCAGTGGAGGTGCACCAACGGCCATGTACCGACCAAACTTCAGTCAGGCCTTCCAACGTGCTGGGCCGACAACGGTACCGCCAACCCTGTCGGCTGGCTTGTACCCCACTCAGAGCTTTACTTCGGGACTTCTGAGCAACGGTACACAAAGTAATAATGATTATCGGTGTCTTCCTCCCTTCTGATAGACCCCCGTCTTAGCCCGAGGATTTTTCTTCATTTCCGAGTCCGTCATTGTCCAAGTCAGAAAGAGTTAGATGGCTCATCTCGGAGGCATCTTTCGTAGACATCCCTCTTGATATCTGTAATGACGGTGCGAGATCAGACGGTGATGCATGCGTAACGTTTGTTGGGTAGAATCGTACCCCGCTTCCTACTTTTTAACAGAGAACGGAATAGCATGCTACTCGGTACCAATTGTGTGATCATGCTTATATGTTGCCAGCCGAAGCTAGTTTCTTATTGCGGCTTTATTTCTTGCAGGGCCGACCGACCTCAGCATGAAGAACACGAAGCCCTTGCTGAGCCACAAGCTAAATGCTACGGAGCTGACGGCGGTGAGACAGCTGATCACCGGATATCGAGAATCGGCTGCCTTCCTCCTCAGGTCTGCGGACGAGCTGGAACAGTTGCTGTTGCAGCAGCCTTAGAACCATCTCGCGTGCGTCTCGGCGATGCAATTTTCGGGACTGCCAACTAGACAACGGTGAAGTCGCAGCCGGGGAAGAATGGCTCCAAGATGGACACCCCTGGGAGAATACCAGTCGATCGTCGCTTTTCAGCCTTGCCGGTCTATTAGTGCGCTCAGGGAGAAATACCTTCGAATTTCTTGGTCGAATCGACTAAGGGCCGAGTTGTCCTTCTTGCACCTAACGCGTCCAGTTTTCCCATCTCGTTCTCGGAATTTGGAACCGCCGTTTAAATGATATGCGATCCAGGACAACTGGAGGGTGGCCTTTGAAACCTTGATTTACTTAAAAAATCACCAGCGATGACGCCCTTACCAGTCGTCGGTACACGTTCTGTCTTACCGACTGTAGCTGAAGCGTTAGTTCGGAAGTTTCCGCTTTTACGTGTACCTTTAACAGGTACGAGTTCATCTTACCTGTGTTTCGACTGAGTAGTACGTTTGAAATTCCATGTGCAAAGGGAAAATAATGTTTCCATGTAACTTCATTTTCTTGCAATATACAAGAGCAGGAATATATACTATGTACAATAATGATTATGACTCCGGAAGGCTTAAATACTGCTTCGTTGGGAGTACAATTACCAGAAGGTAGAAATTCAAGTATAAAAGCGGTTGCTGCGCTGAGTGATTCTTTAAGTACCAAGAAGTTGCTTTTTTCGAATCTTGAAAGGCCTGTACGCACGCGACAGGGTACGTTTGCATCTGAGCACCGTCGATAAGTTTCCGGGACTGTTACGCGCTGGTCAAACGGTCGGTAATAGTTCTTCCTTACATCATCCCATGTAAAAAAGAATTTCTCAGGGCTGTTAGTCTAGGAAAGTCTTGTCGGCGATGCAAACGAATGTACGAGTCACATTTAACCGCTCGTAATCGCGGCGAGCACTCGTTGTTCATTGGTTCGCCGAAATTTGGTCGATGCTTTTGTAAAATCTTTGACGTAGCGAGACGTAGTCGCGAAAAAGGCGACTGACGGCGAGAGAACGCAGAAACAGTAGACGCGCGTGTTCGCGCCGTTTCTCCGAGATGGCGCCACGAACGTGTTCCCGGCGAACAGATTCGTTAAAGATTGGACGACTCTTATGTTTAAGGGATTTATTCGAAACAGGGTGTACATAGAGAGGATTTACGAATATTTACTTAATTATTGTTAAGCTAAGAGTGCGAGTGCGAATCCGAGAGGACGTTGAGCGTGTGCGAGAGCCAAGTGCCCAGGGTCGAGGCGAAACCTTAACCGATACTTCGAAATCAGAGTTGGAGGCGGCATCGAAACGACGAAACTAAATCCAACGGAATCGCAGTTTATCCATCTCGATTCAATGCATCCTGAACTGTACATTACATTAAACGATGGCATTCTTATTTAAAGCCGTCTTGGAATTAGTACCCTCGTTCGTTTTCGAAGTTCCGTTTGACTCCGGCGAAAGTGCCGCCACCCTTCGGACGAATTCCCTAACTCTGGGCACCTCTGGCGAGCGATGAGCGCCGATTCCTAGATATTCGCGCAGTAAGAGCGATTAAACGACCCGCAATTCGTCTCGGGGATTACGTCAAGCGATCAGGATACGTCCCAACAGGGACGTGCCGCGGAAGATCTCCAAAGAATGATAATTCTTCCGCGGCGAGGGAAGCTCTTGCGGAATTCCTCGCGGGACGAATGGCTGGTCGCGTCCACGTTTACTTTTGTACATAACTATAAATACTAATGTCCGCGTGTATGCCTGTCGTGGGCCCTTGGAGAATGTCGAGCGGTCTGTAGTCCTTTTCCGTGCTCTGGAAGACTCCTCGAGTCCTTGCGCGCAGAGACGTCCCTTCGTCGAAGGATATAATCTACACGGAAGACGCTAAGAAGGCAAGAGGAGTCCTGCGCGCGACCCAGGGTGCACGAATCGCCGGAAGTTCAGGACGGATAGAACTTATCGCGTGTCGCGAACTTCCCGGGAAAGGGCCGTTTCGTCTATGGAACTAATGAGAAGGAAGGAAGGTGGACGGACGGCGTTAGCGATGCTCGTTATACGACGGATTTGGGACCATCTCGTCGCGATCGGACGATAGACGGACGTAGGTTCAGTACCCGGGAAGGCGACGACCCGCGAATCAGCGCCGACGACGTCGGGTACTGGACGTACGGACTTCATATACATCACCATGCTACCAAAGAACATTGATAATTGATAACGATAGTAGGGACAGAGGACGCCGCGCCTCTCCCGCAGCGTTTCGACTCGCATCGGGCGAACGTCTGCCGGGATGTCCTCAGGGTTTCTGGCGCGCACAAATTCGTACGGCTTGCCAGCCAGTCAAGGACATCTCCGAGATGTTCGAGGAGTGCGGAGAATCGCTTTCTCGCGGTCTCGTTCCTCCGTGGGTACGTCGAGACGAAAAGATTCGCCCGAAGGTCGCGGGACCTTCCCCCGTCGCGGATTTTTCTCGTCCTCCCAAATGCGCTCCCTTCCTCGTTGGCTTTTTCTTACGATCGAAGGGAATACGACGACGAGCCAATCGGTGCTTACGGACCCACCAGGAGGAACCGGAATTACCCTTTGGCGAGCGAGTTCGTGCCGTTCTGTCGTTGTTTTGTACATAGGTCGCGCGGGGCGTGCGACCAATATTGAGATGATTAAGTTGCTTCTATGAGACGCGAAGAGAGAGAGAAAGAGAGAGAAAGAGAGAGAGAGAAAGAGTATATATATGCGAGAAATATAAATATATAAATATATAAATAGAAAATATGTTTATACCGACGACGAGGAACGATGGCGACGAGGACATGAGAGGACGACGAACGAATGACTTTCGAAAGCGAGAAGACACATTCCCACCTCGAGCGAGTGCGGCGCAGACTTTTCGAAATTCTCGTTTCTCGTTTGTCTCCTATGTGGACATTCTGTCGCTCATGTCTTTTAGTTCCTGCACGCGGAAATAAGTTGGAATACCTGGACTTGGCGGGTTAATCGTTAGACTCGAGACCGTCGAAGGGACGCTGGTTAAGGGCAGGCGTAGGAACCGATACGTTTCGTCGGGATGAGAAAATGGCACGAGGGCTTTCTTCGAGATCGTTAGGGACTTTTTTTAGAAATAGGGCGAACCGGGGAAACAGGGCTTCTCTGATCGAGGTACAAAATACGAGAATGGGGAGAGGAGACAACTCGAACGGTCTATTTCGAAAGGACTCGCCGATCACTCCCTACGGGGTACAGTTCTACAGTTCATATAATTGCGAATTGATGTATATTGATAAACGACAAAAAAAGGTTAATGTATTTGTTCCTGAGAAATAATAATAGTAGTAATAATAATAATATTGATATTGATAAATAACGATAAAGATACTTTGATGGTACATACTTTCGTATAAGTAACGCTACATTACTACGATTACTGTAGAGTTGGTACGGTCTTCGAGGATGCCTTGCCTGTAAATGTAACTCACGTTAAATGAAACAAAAAAAGCAGTCTTATTACCTTGTAAATGTCTTACCAAATATAATCGATTATTCAACTTATAATTCGTCGAATCGTTCCCAACGAAGTAACCTTACGTTTAACCCATTCAATGTCGGGATCCTTTTTTAATGCGTTTTGGGTGCAGTTTATTACGTACATACATGGATGTCATTGAGTTAAGTCTTTCTTCCCGCAATTGTCTTTTCTTATTCTCTTTACGAACACTTCCGAATATCGTTGGATATATTCGGGACTATAAGTCCTGTAAAAAATGCAAATTACTCCCGAAAAATCGTTCAAAAGGTGACGCGTAGTTATAAATATTATTTGCGGCATATCGTTAAGAAACTCGAGAATTTCGAACCAAATGCATTTGTGAGAAACGAAGAGTTATCGAATGATAATACGTGAAAGTTCCAGTTTTCAGGGGTTGAAAGATTAAACACGTGCTCTTTCAAATACTGCGGCAGAAAAGATGAAACGGATCACACAGCTAAATATTAGAATTTGATGTTCGGCGCGAAGGCGAGTCTTCCGACGAAGATTGGAAACGTGCTTTTTCGAATAGAAAAAAAAATAAATAAAATGGATCACACGAAAATATTAAAATCTGATGTTCGGTGACGAAGGCGAGCCTTTTGACGAAGATTAGAAATGGATTTTTTTTCGAATAAATAAAAAAATAATAAAAATGAGACGCCTCACTTGAGAATATTAGAAATCCATGTTCAGGCCGAAGACTCGAATTCTGGCGAGAAATAGCGCGGTCGCGTAAAAATTTAGCCGTCGGTTCATCGCATCACCTTGAGGGAGTTAAAGTTTTCGAGGCGGGTTCGCATTTTTTTCGAATAAAGAAAATTAAAATAAGACGCATTATTTGAAAATATTAGAAATCCATGTTCAGGACGAAGACTCGACTTCTGGCGAGAAATAGCGCGGTCGCGTAAAAATTTAGCCGTCGGTTCATCGCATCACCTTGAGGGAGTTGAAGTTTTCGAGGCGGGTTCGCATTTTTCGAGACGAGCTCGAAACCCTTAAAAGCACAGGAGGCAAAAAGGGAGGCAGACGAGTGCCCGGGCAGCTCGCGTTTGTGTAGGCTCGCACGAGTATAAACCGGGGTTACGAGCGAGAATTATTCATACTTGGTCTTGCATGAAATTCCGCAGCGCCGATCGGCGGCGCTCGAAGTCGCGAGGGTAATTTTCGCAAATTCGGAAAATCGTCGGCCTCGAGGGAGAAAAAGAGAGGCCTCTCGGACCTCGCACGAGTATACGGTAAGTCGAGCTCTCGGACATGCCGGCGCGCTCCTCCTTTTCTCTCGCAGGCCCATTCCCGTGCCCAGAAGCCGACGAGGCGGTGGCGAATTAGCATTTTAATAGCGGCTAAACACCCGCGTTCGTCTCGAAAAGTTAGACGAGCTCCTTGGAAAAAAGACCGGATCCTCAAAGGCCGGACGAGGAGCTCCCGGAGCTCCTGAATTGCCGGTCCTTCCGGCACGGCCTGCGGAGAGAATCGATTTCGACCACCTTCGCCAACGCCCACACACGGAGAATACCTCCGAGGTGGACCGTTCTCCCATTTTAGGCACATCCTGTCGCGTACTTTTCAATTCTAACGCGGCAAAAAGACCCTTCGACAACGGTTGTAAGAAAGAAATAATTCCGCGCGTACCTACGATCAGCGATTACTCGCCTCTGGCTGGGTATCTTTCCATCAAAGGGTCGCAAACCGATTTTTCACCTCAGGGAAAACGTCAATTTGAGGTCTCCATTGTACCGGATCTTTATATGAAATACGTAACATCCAAATCCAACTCAAATCTGTGGATCAGTCGAGGACGTTTCGGCGAAGGGGCGTCAGAATCCAAAATAGAGATCCACACATCTCCCGGACACAAAGGAGCGGAAGATACGCGCAGCTTCGGTAGCATATCTCGTATCTTCTCCGCTTAGGAAGGTGACGATTTGCAAAGAGTCAAACGAGAGCGAACGAAGACCGGGCGAGACCGGTAAGGGAATCCCCGGTTCCCAGCGATTTCTCCGCAAAGCGGCATAAATTGGCATAAATCGGCACAGACGGCCAAGGTCGAGGTCCGCCGCGCCGACCCGAAAGCAACCGTTCCTCCCGGGCCGGGCTAAGTGCTGACCAATTACACCAATTACGAGCGTCCCAATCGGCATATATCACGTAAACCGCGGGCAAAAACCGTTCATTAAAGGCTGCTTTATGTCCGAGCGACGCTTTAATGCCCGCCGTGGAACGGCTGTTCTCGCCGTTCGGGGCCGCGGCGAACGATCGCGGGGACTTGGCGCGGACGCGGCCGTTCCGCCGCGGATGAAACGCGCCGCCCTCGCCTCCTCGGTCATTGCGGCGTGCTCCCTTGGGTCGAGCCATCCTTGAACCGGGCTGGAACCAGCCTCGAACCAGCCTTGAACCGTCCCATCGGACGTCGGGGGGCAAAACCACCTGACGGCTCCTTAAACCGCCCGCGAGCCCTCTAAGGAGCCCAAGCCTCGTCGGAACTTTACAATGTCTGGCGCTCCTTTTGGCCTCGCTGACGATCTCAAGGGTGAATGCATAAATCACACCTTCTGATTGGTTGGAATCACGAGCCGGGCAGTAAAAAGCTCCGCGGACGGAGCCGGCTCGAATTTACTGGGCCCTGTGCGGACGAACAATCTGTGACAAAGTGCTGCCCGGTGCATGGTATACCGCCCGAGGTTACACGCTTTCGCGCCCGGGAGGTGCGTTAATACGCACTGAATATGCAAGCACTTTGTCGAGCGGCGCATCGGTCAGCTTCGTTAGACGGCTACTCGAAGATTTAGCCGTCACTCGTTCCATTCAACCGGGTCTCCCCGTCCACGCCGTTAAATTCCCTGTCTCCGCTCAAGGATCCTCTCCTCGTCAAACGGTTAATCCTGTGATCGACCGCGGAGAGATCCCGCGACTCGTGGGTGGATTTCATTTCGGAGCGTGCGGTCAGGGTCCCGATCAAGGTGCGGGAGAAATTTTGGGAAGTGGTCAAGAGTTGACGTGACCGTCTCTATCGGGCTCGAAATGTATTATATCCAAAGATGATCCTCCGACGTACCACTTCCCATGGCCTAGTCTCGACGAACCAGTTGATGTGGTTCTGGCTAACGATGCATCTTTGCGGTTTGAACCGTTAGACGCAATATACAAGTTTCTAACGTTAATGGTGGAAATTATGAATATTGATGAATTAACTGATTAGGCAGGAGGGAATAAATTCGGGTGGATACAAATAAAGACCCACGGGGAAATGTGTACTAAGTGGAGGTTGATGCGTTACAAGCTTGTTACCGTAATTATTATCGTTTCTCCGCGCTTGAAGGGCCCTCTCATGGCTTTTTCATGAGAAGTCGTAGTTCAAGATCGTGCGGAAATTTGTTCATCGGTCCATCGACGAGGGTGAAAAAAATTGTACACCCAGCGAGTTCGATCGCGTCTCATTGGGAACCTCGTCAGACGTCTAGATTAGACGAAATCGACCGTGCCGGATGGACCGAAGACTATCGCGAAACTTTTCCACCGAGGGGGCGAATGGATTTTCTCCGAACGCCGAGCCTTCTCCGAAGGCGTTTATCGCATAATTAATAACCACCACTGGAGTGCGATGTCGTGCCCGCCTAATGTCTCCCGAAGACGGATAGTATCCCGACGGAGAAGAAAAGGAATCGAAGCTCGGAGGGAGAGGGGTGACATTTTTCACCCGGCGGCCGGTTCCTAGGAGGGCCAAAAAAGGAGGCGAATAAAAGGCGCATAATTTGCCGAGCCGGCGAGGACTCCGACGACGCTCGACCTTCCCATTCGCGTTCCTAACCGAGCGTGAATAATTCGTGAACTTTATTCGCGCCAAAGCCGGTCCCTTCCTTATTGCCGTCCGGCCACCAGCCCGTAGGGTATCAGGTGCGACACTCCATTAAGAGACCGAGCATTTGCGTGGGAACCACCAATGGCCGACCCAACCGGGGACACGGGAGCGAGGACGGACCTTGAGATCCCCTGGAACACCTCTGGGACGATTTTTTCCCATCTGGAAGGACCTCGACCACCTCGGACGTCGCCGACTCGTCGAGTCGATCCCTCAACGGGGACTCCGCGGCCGAGAAGACCGACGGGATCTCGAAAAAGGACCGCGAAAAATCCCGATTAGGTTATGGAACCACCTAAGAACGACCGGAGGTCTCCCGGCCGAAACCGGTGAGGGCGGTCGGACCGTAAAAAAGTAATAGGAACGACGCGAGCAAAAAGAAGTTCGACTCGACCCTCGGTCGAATAAAACAGGAATTAATTATCGATTCCCATTCATTTTATCCTTCCACTTTTTACCGTTTACTGCGTATACTTTTGATAGCGGCCCGCCCGCCAAGGGGACGATCGCGGTGCCGGTCCCTGGACAAAATTGGCTTCTAGCAACGTGTCCTACATCGCCGGCTCCGAATGCTCGAGCATGGCGGAGGGGTTTTCTTTAATTATCAAACTCATTAAGCCGAACGGCTTGGGAGTGCGGAGGCAATTTGGCGTCCAAGCTAGGCTCCTCTTTGTCCCGGGTTTGCGAAACCGCGAGGAGTCCCTCGCGACCGGGATGGGAAAATCATCGAGGATAACGAGTCGCGGAATCCCAGCCATCCTTTAGAATTCCCTCGGATCATACCTCGGGGCAGGATGCAACGAGGCCGCTCGCGTTCCATCCGGCAATCCGTAAATCCATTCGGAATCGCAGCGTTACCTTGTGCTTAGCTTGGAAGCACGGCCGCGTATATACATAATGAAATAATTGGATCGTTACGGCCCTGGGCTCTGTGCTCGGAGATGACCGGGGCCATTGGATCCGAGGATCTCGAGGCATCTCTCCGCATCTCTCCGCATCTCGGCGCATCTCGCCGCATCTCGCAATGGTCACCGTAAACTCGGGCCGATTCGCCCCAGGAAGCGACGCGCTCGTCCTGGCGGAGGAGTTAAGGCCGCTTCCCAAGACGGCGACGAGTGTTGCGTTGGCAATTAAAGCCGCGTCGTAAAGATGACCGGCGAGTCGCTTGCAGGAATGTGAAAGTGCTCGACTTAGGCTTAGGTCCCTCGCCGTGGCGCAACCTTGAGGAAAATGGTAACGCTTGTCGGCGACTGCGGAGAAAAGATGAAAGCACTGCGATACATTGACCGCGGCGTGGACAGGGAGCGGTAAGGCCGACGCAGTGGATTCGAATCGACATCGTCGAGGAGAAATTTTGGGAGCTGTTTCGGAAAGGTGATTATGAGAGTAATAATTGCGAAATCGATTGCGCAAGTGGTTGTACCGAGTACGCGCTCCATTCTGGGATCGGATTTGTAAGGCGGCCAATACCCTGTGCGTGGTTCATGATCAGTGATTTGAGATCCACCCTTTGCGTGGTTCGTGATCAGTGATTTGTGATCCACCCTGTGCGTGGTTCGTGATCAGTGATTTGTGATCCACCCATTGCGTGGATCGTGATCAGTGATCCACCCTATGTGTGGTTCGTGATCAGTGATTTGTGATCCACCCTGTACGTGGTTCGTGATCAGTGATCCACCCTATGCGTGGTTCGTGATCAGTGATTCACCCTATGCGTGGTTCGTGATCAGTGATTTGTGATCCACCCTTTGCGGAAAAGGTGCGTATGAACGATACGTTCATGTTTAGGACGTCCGCATCAGAGTGCCATAGTTTGCCATTTTTGAGGAAAACTTAATGCACTCAATAAGGTCGTTATCGCTTCTAAGCAGAAACGCATGTGCGTGGTTCGTGATCAGTGATTTGTGATCCACCCTGTACGTGGTTCGTGATCAGTGATCCACCCTATGCGTGGTTCGTGATCAGTGATTCACCCTATGCGTGGTTCGTGATCAGTGATTTGTGATCCACCCTTTGCGGAAAAAGTGCGTATGAACGATACGTTCATGTTTAGGACGTCCGCATCAGAGTGCCATAGTTTGCCATTTTTGAGGAAAACTTAATGCACTCAATAAGGTCGTTATCGCTTCTAAGCAGAAACGCATGTGCGTATGGGTGCGTATGGGTTATTCACGAGTTTGTCATCCAGTCAGGTCCACCCAACGGACAAAGTGATGCAAAATTAGCATGAGATTTGCCTCATAAAAGATCATGAAATGCGTCACGAGGGTGTTACTTACGAGTCCTCATTTGGAACTCGTATCTGCAGGACACAATGACGAACCAAAAACACAAACATGAAACAAAATTAAATACATGCAATGTCTCAATGTTTGTCAGCATACGTACAATTAAACTTATCTCGCGCATTGCCGATAAACAATTGCAGTGTCTGTAGCTCATATGTGAGCCGCGGGGTGAGAAATTTACCGCAAATGATTATTCAAATTTATTATGTTAAATGCGTACATACATCGCCGACATTTCATGCAGCAAATGGCGTGGAAATTGTTTGTAAACCGATTTTCCTCGTCCCACGATGATCGTGAATTTCTACCTGGGCAGTTATCGTTATTCATTGACGTGACGGACTTGCACAAATCAACGCCCCAGGAATCGCGGATCAGGAACCGAGCATATCGTGGGTGGCCAGGTCGTCGCATCGAATTGGTATGAATTGACATCCTACGAGCCACGCATATTGCGCGTGGCTAATTTGTCGCATCGACGAATCGGTACGACGAATCCGTGTACAACGAATCGCGAATCATGAACCACGCATAGCGCGTAGAGGACTTAACTCGTCGCCCTTCCTTCAGCATCCGCTTCCATCAGCGGCGGGTTGAGATCGCGACCGGTGCCAAGATGAAGACGAAGACGAGGCCCAAGACCAAGATGAAGACGAAGACGAGGCCCAAGACCAAAATGAAGACGAAGACGAGTCCCAAGACCAAGATGAAGACGAAGACGAGGCCCAAGACCAAAATGAAGACGAAGACGAGGCCCAAGACCAAGATGAAGACGAAGACGAGGCCCAAGACCAACATGAAGACGAAGACGAGGCCCAAGACCAACATGAAGACGAAGACGAGGCCCAAGACCAACATGAAGACGAAGACGAGGCCCAAGACCAAGATGAAGACGAAGACGAGGCCCAAGACCAAGATGAAGACGAAGACGAGGCCCAAGACCCAAATGAAGATGAAGACGAGGCCCAAGACCAAGATTAAGACGAAGACGAGGCCCAAGACCTAGATGAAGACGAAGACGAGGCCCAAGACCAAAATGAAGCCGAGGACGAGCGAGAGGACGAGGACGGCGCGGGGGCGACGAAACAGCCGAGTGCAGCTCTCGGCCAGTCGTGCATACTCCGGTGCATGCTCCGCTGCATACTCCGCACATAGTGCTGCACGGTGCCGCATAGTTCGTGTTTGCCACCTTGGGCGGGGCGAGTGCATTGTACAGTTAGGATTTCGAGGAGCGAGGGAGCATAATGAGCGGAACGTGCTGCCCTCTGGCCCTGGAGGAGCGAGAGGGTCTGCACTCGTCTTCGGCACGTCGCCTTGGATGACCCGAAGGACATTCGTTTCTCGTCCTGACGGCCGAGAGGCCTTCGGACCGGATCCGGATCAGCTCCGTTCCGGCTGTGGTCCAACGCAGGTCCAGCTCTGGATCGGATCCTGACGCTGGGGACCATAAGGACGATCCTTTTGAATTTCTATCTCCGAAAACGAAACATTTAGAAACTGGACTTTTTGTATTTTCCCCACCTTCTCGAGTGGAAATGGTAATAGTGCTCAGCTCAGGTTTTCATCGGGTCTCGATGAGGACATCCGATCGGGACCCGATGAATTCGGTAACACAGGGTCCTCATCAGGAACGTCATAGAATATGGGTCAATGTCCAGTATATTATTTTTTAATAAATCAGAACACTGGTATTGTCATTCACGGTACATAACTGAAGATCATCGATATCGTTTCCCAAATTGACCCTTTAAATTTGACGCGATCAATCGAGTTTCCTTCTCATCGGTAGCGACCAAATGGTTGACAGTTCCTTGTCAGTTGTCAAAGAAACGCGCAAAACAAGCGCGATATGCAGTAACCCGACATCTTGACGAGGTCCTGACGAGGACCGTTCCCGGTTTTATCGAGACCCGATCAGTATCAGATCTCCACTATCATTTCTATTCGGGGTTTTCAACGTTCGCGTTTCCCCACTTTGTCTAACGTTCTACACAAAAGGGTGGTTATCGCGGTTTCTATCGATCCGAACCGATTCCAGAGCAACTTCAGACCGGATCTGGAGTCGCTTTGGAGCCCCTCCGAAGCCGAAGGGCGCTCGTTTCCCTGGGTGGCCTCGAGATATGCCGGGATTTTTTCTCTCCTCGTTTTACGGCCGATGTTTCTCTGCCTTCGAGTTTTCATGGGTGCACTTACTTTTTTGACCCGGCTCACTCGCTTCAACGCATCGGACGTCTTTACAACCTCGCTCCGAGTCCATCGAGCACCCGAGGGCGTGGTCGCGTCCGATGCGTGCCTCTAGGAGTAACAGTATGCACGCAGGCGGACGACTCGTTATCCTCGCAAAAATCCCTGGGCTCGAGTGCCTCGGAATGTACTCGCAAGAAACGTCCCTTTGACTGCATCGACCCAGATTTCGCCATCCCATTTTTTTTTCCAGAAAATATGTACTTCCTCGGTATCGAAAGGCAATCTATTCCCTATTTGACTGATGGAACTTCTCTTGAACGTTTGCGCCCGAAGGTCTCCACATAATCCTAACCTAATAGAGGACCGTGTAGACTCTTACAAGCTCGTTTACAGAGCCAGATCTTTATCTCTGGTTTCAAAATCCCCCTATCTCCCTCCAAAACATCAGCAATATGCCATTCACACGTTTAGCTTCGTGGAAAGGGAACAGGAACTCTCTACAGTCTGCACTTAGCTCTTTATTCGAAATCATTTTAGTGCCTTAGAAGAATCACAGAAAGTTGTTCCAGGTAGTAATTCGGTACAATTCCAGGTAAATGAAACATCTATCACGAGGATGAGTCGTTACTGCGAGATAACGATCGGAAAAGGTTCGAGGTTATCATTGTAGTCCTGGCATAATTTGAGTAACGTTAAGTAACGTCAAATAGATGTATGTACTAGATATCAGGGCGACTGACAGCGATTCTTCTTGCGATTTGTCCGGAATGATGCCCTCCCTTTGCTGCCATCTTTGTTGCGGGGACCTAAAAAAACAAGTATGCAAAATGTTGCGTTACATCCTGGCGTAAATCATGCGCGTGCCGCAACGCCCACTTTTGAGTGTTGCGCGAATCCAGGCCACGTGGACTCTTTGCTGCGCACGTGGCCCCGATTTTGACGTCCACGTTGCTCCTTTCTTTTCGAATCGTTCGTTTGGTGTTCGTTTGGTGTTCGTTTGGTGTTCGTTTGGTGTTCGTTTGGTTCGTTTGGTTCGTTTGGTTTCGCGACCTACCTCTTTATGCGGCGATCCCGATGAAAATCGATCTCGATGAGGACTCGGCGAAGAAAGACTCGACGGGCGAGTCGGTTCGCGAGCGGGACTCAGTCCCACGACTCGATTGACTGACTTACCGACTCACCGAGTGACTCGCCGACCGACTCCCCTCGGAGAGTTCTCGGGAGTTCCTTGCCGAGCGAACTTTCCGATCCGACGAGAGTTGCGTCGAAGAGATTGCGAAAGCGCGCTTTCGAGCGTTTTCATTGTTGCGCCTCTCGGGCCCGCTTCCGTGTCAAGTCGTTTCGAAAACTTCCCACGATTTCGTCTCCTCGCGCCCCGGACGCTGAAGACACCTCCGGCGCGTAACTCACGCAACGCCGCCGGATCCTTTTTCCGAGGTCTAATCCTGAATTTCCGTAAATCACGAGTAATTAGCGGTTCTGCGGGACTGCGAGTAGATATTAGACGTCCGGGGTTTGGGACCGGGGATATGTTAGTGATTCGTGCCGGCAATTTTGCAGAAGGAAGTCTGCTCGAAGGATCTATAGGATTCGAAGATCCTCGATAAAGGGAGAGCGAAGGGGCTCTGGGACCCGATTTTTGAGTTGCTAAGATCGATTTTTCCATGGGAAATTGACAGTCTCATATACAACTTTCAAATGTCGACGATTGGCGGGAATTCGCAATAATGCGAAATTTTTCATGAAAATCTATTCATATGCGAAGAAATCCGCATAAATTCCAAAATAGGGCTCCAGGGACTCCATGTCTTATATTCATACTAATCGCATGCGAAATTGACAGTTTTGCATACGATTTTCAAACGTTGACCAATGATGCTACTTTGCAACGATGCGACATTTTTCACGCGAACCTATTCGTATGCGAAAAAATCTGTATGAAATCCAAAGTAGGGTTCCAGGGACCTTATTCTCAAGTTCATACTAATCGCATGCGAAATTGACAATTTTTGCATACGACTTTTAAACGTTGACTAATAACGCGACTTTGCAACAATGCGAAATTTTTCATGCGAATTTATTCCTATGCGATTAAATCCGTAGAAGCTCGAGAATCGGGTCCCAGGAAAGAGGAAGATCGTGGCCTGGAGTTTTGCACCTTGGATGTGTTAGGGACTCAATAGGAGCGTTTACCGATCCAGAAGCTGCGGATGTACCAAGAGTGCAGTTGCATTTCGGCGCTGACAATGAGGGCTCTATCAATTTCCTTTTAGTCTTTTGACGGCGTCATTTAGTACTTGTATCGGAAACAAGTGTTGCCCCTTTCGGCGAGAAGCGGAACTCCCTGGATGCTTGGCATCGAAAGGTGTTCCCGCATGGCAATTACATCCGAAATCAGTCCTCGAGTGCTTCCCCAAGGCTTACGTAAGGTGTAGGCATTAAGCAGCGAGCTTCAAGGAAAACCGGATCATCGTCGAGTGTATTATTCGAATGGCACGAGCGACCGTAAACCAAGTTACACCATCGCTGCACCAGGTGCGGCGCACTAAACCTTCGGTGCCGATCTCTTCTCTCGAGATACGGTTAAGCAAACGGTTCTCCGGGCGCGTGTGCGGGAATTTCACGGAAGAGGCGAAAATCGTGCCGGGTTTTCCGTCGAGAGCCGACTTAGGGTCCGTTTTCAGCGACGTGGGCACTGGGTAAGGTAAGTGGCATGCCCGGCGTCTCCTGGGTTTAAATCGTTACCCTGTTGCTGGCCCGTATCGAGTATTATCTTGTTCGTAGAAGCCACATGGAAGAATATGGAGCACTTACCCTGGCCACGGTAACGACGGACCACTTAGCCTGGGTAACAACCGCTCCGTCGATGTACAAGCCGATGTACAAGTCGGTCTACGAGCCGTCCTCGGGGATCGTAGTTCGGTTGGTGACCTGGAGGCCCATTACGCGATCGGTCGTGAGACCGTGTCGTTTGTCGTCCATCGATGGGTCAATTGTCTCGGGCCACGAGGGTCGTTCCTTCGACATCGGAGATCGATCCAGGGAAGTCCCGCTGACGAATGATGGATTTCCGATTAATCCTCTAGTGGGTTCTTCCATGCATCCTGGGACAGAAAGGAGATGCATCGATTCCACGGTGCATTTATGGGCACAAGGAACGATTAAGCGGTAATGCGACCTGATAAGACAATCCATAGTAATCGGTATGATAAACCAGGAATGGTTTGAACCAGGTGCTAGAAGTCGCACACTTAGTAACAATAACCCATGGTACAACCGTTTCGCTCGTTTCGTGAAAAGAAAGATATGTAACAATTTCATGGATTTCCAATGTTGATTATAAGCGTAGTCGATATTAAAAATTGCTCGTTCCTTGAACAAGACGAGAACGCACACACCGTGAACCACTATCTGCAGAGTGCTAGTTTTAATAACTTTTTCAAAACTCATCTTAAATAATGTCCATAAGTGACATTAACCTCGATATCCTGGAGCGATATCGGTCTCGATTGGCGCCACGATGACGTTCATAAGGAACCATAGCACTTGCGTCAAGGGGATTCCTTAACGGGGCAAAAGATGCCATTTACCAAGGTGCAACCAAGGTATAACCATTTTGGTCGAAGATCCCGAAGCGGATCATACGATCTCGACCGTACGCCCTTCCCGATGGTCGCTAAATTATCCCCAACTACTATGCCTACGAACCATAAGCGAGGGCAAGGGTCCGCGACAAACGACACCGTAACTGATTGGAATGAATTTATGCGGTGCCACGTTCCATTTTACGAGCATGTATCGGCACCAAGCGGAACGCGGCCCGTTCAATGCTCGCCGATTATGAAATGAACACCCTCTTCACCTGAAATACCTGTACTCACCGCAGCCATTAGTCCGATCGCCTCGGAATATCATCCGGGCGAATGTGTCCCTCCACGTTCGCTCGATGAAATAATTCCGGGACTCGCTACCGCGGCTGATGTCCCGATGAAGACGTCCCACCTTGCAAGGGAATAAGTGTCGGCAATTTGCCCCGGGACTGGCTAGACCACTTGTTTTGTCGGGAAGAACCGAGTCCAGTGCCGTTGCGAGCCGGACAACTCCTGGGGGCACCAGGATGCAATTCCGCAGTGGCGTAGCACGGGATTCCGTTCGGTGGGAACGGGACATTTTTATCCCGCGTTTATAGGTCATTCGTCCTCGGCTGGTCTTCTCGCGGGAGCTGAGATCCAATCTACGCGGCCGCTCCGCAGGAAATTTGCCTGGGAGGGTTCTCTCTTTCCCTCGCATCCGGGAGAAGACGGATCATTAGTCTCCTTCGAGGGAAAGGGGCTCCTCCTTCTGGGCTCGTCCACTGGCTACGCCGCTGCACTTGTCGATGCAGTAACGACTCGGTGCAAAGGATTAGGATAGGGATCCTCTGGGAGTGAGAGCGAGAGGATCCTGGAAAATGGGAGATCGAGGCAAGGGGTAATTGCCACTTCCCACCCCGAACATATACCTATTATATACGTATATTGACTATCTACAGATATCCATAAGATATCTATAAGATGTTTAAAATAGGGCTAAATGACCATCTAATATACGTATATTAGACGTAATCTGTAGATGTTTTATAGATATCTTATGGACATCTTATGTGAAATATAAATGTTCGACTCGGGTCTGGATCTCGCAGCGGATCGTATTTCTTTTACCTTTTAATAACATGATTCATATTTCTGTACTCATTACATATTACTTATGGACTTTCATACGTTATCACGGTCTTTGGAAATTCCACTCCGTTTCTTGTAATTTTCATTTACTACCTTTGACATGTCCTCGCATCAATTAATTCGGCACTCCGTCTGAATTTGAGGGGCGGGTAAAACATGGCGATTGAGACTCGCGTGCGCGAAGTAATGACGGATATCGCCTCGGTGCTCTTACCCATTGTAATGCGTGTAATGAGAATGGCAAATGGGCGTGCAATTTGATAGGCTTGTCAACCACCGTTACGGTTCGTGCGTCCATAGAATGGACTCGGAGGGATTACAGTTATCCCGAAGGGCAACAGACACTGCCGCGAGGTGGACGCCGGGCACGTCGAGGTGCTTCCTGGTGTCCCACTCCCCTGGGTTATCACTGGTTATCCTATCGGATGCTTAACCTCCGAGAACTTCGTACGCGAGTACGAAAGCACGTCTTCTTGCCATCCGCGTATCAAGAGATTAACGCCTGGCCTTTCACACCGCCTTAATGTCGGTGGAGGCAACGGTAGATCGCGGAAAGTGGAAACAGGGAAAGGATTAAAAAACCACTCCCATGAAAGAAAGTCGTCGCGTGCCCGCCATGATTGTTGGATGTGACCTTTCTAAGTTAATGAGAATTATTATATATAATTATCTTTAATCACTTTCTCGCCAAATGTCATTACGCGTCCGATACCGGGTATTTTGGGCGTCATTTCTTCCATTTTTACTATTTTTGTCACCTTAAATGTCGAAATCCGAACGAACAATGTTTACACGATGTGTCTCAGTGGTAGCACGCAAAAATGTAATGGGTTGTAAAAATAAAATGTACACAAACTGTGAATATTAAAACCCAAAAATGTATGTAAATAGTAATTAACCGTAAATAAAGGCGTTTCACTGTGCAAAACGGGTCCCTTTCGTGACGTAATGAAAAATATAATGAATTCTGAAAATAAAATTCACACAAAATGCGAATATTAAAACCAAAAAATGTATGTAAATAGTAATTAACCGTAAATAAATGCGTTTTACTGTGCAAAACGGGTCCCTTTCATGATACGCGAACTTACGCGTATTATCGTGCCAGGATAAGTTTAACTTTAAAAGATCCTATCGAGGAGGCGGAATAGTCTGAAAATCTGCAAATTCTTTCACGTCTTTCGTGTGGAATTTGTTTTGCAGGGGATTTCGGAAAAAAACGAAGAAGAAGGTGTTTTCCAGCGATCTACGTCCGCTAGATCTTGCGGGAGAAAGGACCGCGGATCTCGACGATCTAGATGGGACCCTCTCGCTTTCTTAAATCACCGGGATGATCTACGATCGAGCGATGGCACGCACAATCTCCTGGCCCGATCTACAAGGCCGAGGACGCGTCTTCGGGGGTAGAAAGGAGTCAAAATGTTTCAGAAACTGCTTCCGAACTTGTCCTGGGCTCGTTCCCTCGACCTCCACGATATCGTCCGTATTATCAGGTGCGTACTCGGAAACCGAAAGTTGTCCCAAGAAATTCCAACCAGAGATTTGGGCAGTTAAAACATCCTCGGAAGACAAACACGGGTCGCCTCGTAACTGTCTCAGACTCATGTAAATTTGCGGAAATCCAAGTGCAGGTACGCGATTCCGCAACAGTGGACAAACGCCAATTAGAAGGATAGCAATTCCGCGTGAAAGCTCCTTCTCTTAAAATAAGGAATTACGGTCCTCCTTAGAGACTTAGTAATCATTACACGGGAGAAAGGACCGTTTAATTTCAATTAAAATTCCGTAGACCACTAAACGCCACGCGATATAACGAACCACTTTGCTCTCTCATTTATTCTCATAATTTACAACGGCGACACGACCAGCACTAAATTACGAATTATAGTAATCATTGGACGGGGAAAAGGGCCGTTTAATCTCAATTACAATTCCACTTGGTACTAAACGCCTGGGAGCCTTCCAAGTTACATTATTAACAAGTCTACTGTCCACTAATTCAACCAGGCGAAACTAAGCTACCGGGAAATTAATAAGGAATTTTCAAGAGCCGCGCTCGGTTTACTGGGGATTGCGAAGTGGATTCTCGGTATTCCAGGATCAGAGAAGAACCCGGACACTCCTCTGCGAGGCGAGGCTCTCCCGAGGGGTATTCGGTTTCCAGCCGAGTATTTACAGGCCGCTATCCAGGTATTTACAGTTTCGGGTGTCAGACAGTCAGAGATTATTCACAGCCGTCCTAGTTTTCAGGAAGGAGCGGAAAAGTTGATAAGTGCGGGGCGGCCTCTAGGTACCGGATTGAATGCGGTATACATCTTCCAGCTCGGCTTACTCGGCCAATAAGACCATTCTAATCCCGGTTCTAGCGGTATAAACCGCGCGTTAATTACGGTGATTGATTTAAACCTCGTCTCCGGGGATTTAAGAGCCTCACCCGAGCTATCCTCTCGAGCTATATGCGAATGCACCGATGCAACGATGCATGAGCTACTTGCTCAGGGTTGTGTGCACAGGACATCGGTACCTTCGGCGCAAATAGCGCATACGGACGTTTACGCAAACCAGAACGTAAATATGTCTATTTACGCGGCCACGTGGTCACGTCCGTCAATGCGTGACGCTTGCCAACATTCTCGTCACGCGGATATTCGTCAGTCAGATAAGAAGCTCGTTATGTGCCTCGTTATTTATTTCCTCTGTTTAGCGGTAATGTTATTCGGTTAGATCGTGTGTTCCTTGTCGACGAAAGGTTTCGCGAGATTCTATTTGCGGTATCATGCGCCTGTTTTCTTGCATATTCTGAACGTTGTCCGGCTAGTTACCACTGCAGTTGATGCTATCACACGCAAGGCGTAGACGTTAACGTTTGTTTTCATCATTTTGTCGGATTATAAATCACTTCGTTATTTTAATTGGAATATATTGTACTTGTTGTGTAATCAAGGGGGTGAGAAGGAAATTCAGGTTGACTTTGTACCCCGTCTTAGATTAGAGTTCATTATTTGTCTCGGGAGCATGGATTAACGTGCTGATATGATTGATTAGCGGTATGTCGAACGCGACCGGATAATTCGGGGCGGAGAGTTTGGAAATTCGGAATTCAAGATTTTGTTTGCAATTTCATAGTTGGACAAGTAATTGTGATAAAAATGAGGTGTTACCAAATTCGATTTTAAATAATGTTCCTGGGGGAAACGTTAAGCGGTAATTTTGTAAAGTGTACCAAGTTTCTTTACAAGCGGTAGGTTTGCGTAGGATACGGAGACTCATTAAATTGCTCCGTACAGTAAAGCATTGAGAATAAATGCTTTCAGTCGAAACCTTCATTGTCTCTAAGGCGAATTTGAAACACGTATTTAGGATCCGTAAAACTATTAATTCTTCAATCTCCTGGAGCGTTCCGGAATTCCAGCTCGGAATGTAAATAAACAATGGAAGTGACCGTGCGGCGTCAGATCGTCAAAGGCTACCGGACGATTAGTCTCTTCAAGGTGCTGATTCGCGAAACATCTCGTTTTCCCTCGTCCCGACTTTTCCCGAGTACTGAACATTCCAGTCAAGAAATTTACATATACAGACGCCATCGAGGAAAAAAATAGATAATAAGGTAACGATCATCATTTAATTATCCGAACGTCACAATTTGCGACTTTCAATCCCCCAACTCCTGATCAGTAAAATGCTAATTAAATCACAAAAAGCCTTTTTTAATCGTGCTACGATTTCTCGTCGATTCTTTTTACTTTATCCCGATACCAATGCGACTCGGTAATCCGGTCCAAATTGAAATCGTGCATTGATTAATTTAGCCTTATCGAGCGCATCGCATATACCGTTTCCTGAGTTTCGGGACGTCCATGGGAGGGTACTAATTGGACACACAAGGGAGAATCGTCCGTGCCCGTCGATCCGTCGTTATCGGCGATGTATCGAGGCTCGCCGATGCGTCGGTGCATAGATGCACCGGCGCATAGGCCGCTGCAAGATCTCGGCTCTCCTCGCGCCTATACACGGGCATGCACGGTTATGCAGATGGGTGCACGCGGTATTTACAGCCGGAGCCGGCCTCGGCTCCATTCGAAAGTGAGAAGGCCCGATTGTTGCACCGTTAAACGGGCGAAACGGTTCGTTCGCACGGTTCGTCGTTTATCGGCTTACGGTGACTCGCTCTCGCGCGTCTCGACTCTTCCCCGTACACCCGGGGATTCGCAACCGGTTGGCAACGGCGACCGCTAACTGCGGATTTATGGAACTCGCCGAGGGATTTACACACTTCCTCGTGCCGGTTTTACAGACCGAGGTCCCCGGGACGCTCTCGTGGGACGCGAGTAATGCCGCGCTCTTGTGCCCGGATCGCCATCGCGACGATTCGGAACTAGTCGACGAATATTTTAAGGAAAAGGGGAACAAAGTCCTGACGAAGATGTTCACCATCCATAGATTCCAAGTCTAAATCGATGCGTCGAATGCCAATAATCGGTAGGGGCCCGTTTCCGAGATCTATAGGTTGATNCTTTTCCTGAAAAAAAAAAACGAACAAGCCTTATATCGATTTGCTCTTGCCGTATATCGCGTTACGTAAGAGATGATATCCTTATATGATGTTCCGTTTTGTTGTGACTTAGGTGGAACACGTGGTTACCAAGGATTCGCCAGGTGGACGTTGACAGGGAGAGACGCAACATCACACAGTCGCTTAGGTGGGTGGCAACTTTAGTGTCATCCCGAAGCGAGGTAACGTAATTTTTTTCTTGTTTATTGCATGGGTGAATTCGAAAGGTCTGGATGCGAGGCGTCCGACACGACAGGTTTTATCATTAAATGTAAAATCACTGAAATTTGGATATTACTTTTTATGAACCCTCCTACCGCGGGCGAAATGTCTTGTATAGTTTTATCACAAGATCTTTGATGCAATACGAAATGTTAACTAAAAGATTCGGATATTCTGAAAATTTAGTGCGATTATCGCAGGAAATTAACGTAATGACTTATAGAATGCGATTTCGGCTTCGATCATAGCTGGAGGGTTAAAGAGAAATGGTAAAGAGGATGTGAGGGCATGGGAAGATCATTTTTCGACAGAAGTCGTCTTGCTGATCTTAAAGAGTCTTCTGGAGGATCTAGAATACCTTCCACTTAACCCTTCGAGGCACGGGATTTTAGATAATAAAAATGCCCACGTTGTACATAAATTTTATTTCGTTTTTAAATTGAACAAAGTCAGTTTATTTTTATTAATAAAGGAATAACATAATATAGAAACGTAGAAAAATAATGATAATTCAATTAAGTTTGTTGTTATAGGGTGGGACTCAAATGGTCCCACCGGGCATATTCACGCATTAAAAAGGTGGGACACCTTTAATACCACCGCGCCTCAAAGAGATAATTAATAAGACCCATTGCCGACTTTTGCAAAGAAATATTTTCACGTGCGGCCAAGTGAGATAGCCGTTGAGCAAATATGCTCGACTGGAAGTATAACCTTTATCCCACAAAGACTATCCGTGTACCCCGGGAAATTATAGTCATTATTAACAATCAATTTTACCACGTCCCTCGCTGGGAGTTTTGCTAAACTTCCCACGTCGATTAGCAACGATAAGTCCAATCGATCGCTCGTTCCTCTCGTTTTCGCTCGTCCGAGTAGGTGCGCGCTCGGTAGGTTGGCCGCTTCTTCGCCGCGCGCGGAATTCCCGTCCTGGGAGCAGGTTTGGGTACTCGCGTGACGGACGGGGACGGAGTCGCAACTTATTCTCTTTCCCGGTTTCGCGGAATTTTCAGCGGCGGGAAAAGAAACCGGCGGCGCGTTCTTGGCGGGTACCGGTGCCGGTGCGTCCTCAAAAAACGGGCGCAATTAATTCCCCGGCGATGGTACTTCCAGGGCCCCGTGTACCGTACACACGGTGGCTGGTTACATCTGTCTCGACGCGCTTCTTTCCCGGTGCGTCTACCGAGCTATTAGCCCCGCGACCGTACATCCGGTGTACCCGGGACACGTTATAATCGGCACATACACCAGCCGAGCATAACGAATGTCGTGACGCGAGAAACATCCTCGCAAAACCTCCGACGAGGATCCCCTTTACCCGGCGGACGCACGCCCGGGGCCGCGTACCGTTGTCCCGGGGCTTAATTTCCTCGATCTTAAGTACACCCTCGACAGTCTTATGTACGACTATACGGAAATTATCCCGCGATACCCTCTGGAGACCTACTCGTACGCATCCTACGACCATTACCGGCCGTCCGGGTACGACGCCTCCGCTTTGAACCTCCGCCTTGAATCCCGACTGACTCGGAAAGAATCGGTAAGAGTCAAACTCGATGGGCTTTAATAAAACAACCCCGGAAACGAGCCGACTTCCTCGTTCGGATTGGCCATTCGTGAATCGAAAAGAGCCAAACTCGATGGACTGTAATGATACAACCGCGGAAACAAGCCCACTTCCTTGTTCGGATTGTTCATTCGTGACTGTTCCTGACGTTTATGTAGATTACATCGAAGAAGAATTAAATGATACGTGATATTAGGTTATATTCAAAATTTGTTTAAATAATAGGTAATATTGTGTATTATTTAAAGTCCCGACGAACTCGGAAAGAATAGGAAAGAGTTAAACTCGATGGGCTTTAATAAAACAATCGCGGAAACGAGCCGACTTCCTTGTTCGGATTGTTCATTCGTGACTATTCTTAACGTTTACGTGCATATAATCAAAGAACAATTAAATGATACGTAATATTGGATTTTATTTAAAGTCCCGACGAACTCGGAAAGCATAGGAAAGAGTTAAACTCGATGGGCTTTAATAAAACAATCGAAACAAGCCGACTTCCTTGTTCGCATTGCTCATTCGTGACTGTTCGTGACGTTTGCGTAGATTAAATCGAAGAAGAATTAAATCATACGTAATATTGGCTTTTATTCCAAATTTGTTTAAATAATAGGTGATATTGTGTATTATTTAAAGTCCCGACGAACTCGGAAAGAATAGGAAAGAGTTAAACTCGATGGGCTTTAATAAAACAATCGAAACAAGTCGACTTCCTTGTTCGTATAACTCATTCGTGACTGTTCCTGACGTTTGCGTAGATAAAATCAAAGAAGAATGAAATGATACGTAATATTGAGTTTTATTCAAAATTGGTTTAAATAATAGGTGATATTGCGTTTTATTTAAAGTCTGTTGAAATAATACGTAATATCGTAGGTTCTTTAAATTCCCGAAAATTATTCATCGACTATAGAACTAACTCGGTTTCGTACTAATGTGGGTGTTCGTATTATCCGTTAATATTAGGTTATTTTGTCAGAAATGATAAAAGATTTTAATCTTAACCCATTTGCATCATAAGGAAGTATAAAAAAGGGGGTCCTTATCCCCAAATTTCAGACTGAATTATAGTGACCAGGAAAATTGAGCGTATATATACGCTCCGGTGATAGTGACCAGGAAAACTGAACATATATATCCGCTAATGATGCAAATGGGTTAATGAGTTCACGGTAGATCCAACGCAGGGAATGCAATCATTTGGTTTATCCTTCTCATCTACTCGTTCGTATATATCATGCTACGTAATATTTAATATGGTTAGAAAAGTTTAAATTAAACCGAGTTCACTTAGGTACCAACGTGGTTAGACATTGTTTGGTAAATTGAAATCGATCCATCAATTTCCCGTGCCGAGATTGGTTGACATAATGTTATTTCCCATATATCGCGTGTAAGAAGTAGGAACTTGAAATTGTTATAATTCATTATTTCCTCAAGGAGGGACGCGATAAGCCATTTACATAATACGATGATCTTGACTAATTGTTCCTTTCTAGAGGAATATTTATAAGGGGACCGATATCTTTTCACGGCTCAACGTTTTTCCATTCTTAAAGGTGAAAGGGATTTTAGCGTCCACACGATGCGTCTTACAAAACGCATCGCTTTGGGAGTGCGTGAAATTGGACGGTAAAAAAAAATTACGCTCATAAATCGCGAGTCCTTGAGCCCGCCAGAGGAAGGTCTGCGCGGTGCCTGCTCAGGTGTCACGGGAGTATGATGTACACCTCTTCTGAGACTTTTTAGTGAAAGTAAGCGCAACCCGTCCTCCGGCAAGTAGTCTCGTCTCCGAATTTGTCAGGCCACGTGAAATCCAATCAAATGCCTCAACACCCTTGTCAAACCTCATCTAGAGATGAAAAATCGAATTGACGGGACTTGTCTGGTACCGCTGTAATACTTCGGACGAACATGGTTGCAGGATACACGGACCCGAATTTGACCATTACCGTGATTATTACGAGGTAAAAAAAAAAAGGAAAGAGCGAACGAACGCAATCCCTTTCTTTCTCTCCCTTTACCGTTACATAGGCCACATTGCGCTGGTACATACAAAAAAAAAACATTAATCTCAACGTTAACTGGACAACGGACTGAGGCACACCGGCGTCACTGCCCTAGTAGCATAGAATAATTTCTAAATATTTCTTTGTATTCTTTGCTAAATATCTCAAGCGACAGATTTTTTTAAATCTCTCGTAGATTTCATTCGAAGATATTTGAAATATTTGTTGAAAATCTCAATGACATATTTAGTTTCGATAATTTATAAACATGTAGAGAAATTGTATTTTTTAACATATTAACATAATAAAAATACATTTCTTTACTTCGCGACTATTATCGGACACTTCATTTGGTATCGAAGAACACGAGAAATTTGTCCAACATTTTCGTTCCGCTGTTTCATTATGGGAGCAAAACGTGTGATTTTGATTTTAAATATTCTTAAAACGTTTATAATGTATTCGGCGGATAATATTTAAAAAATACATGTATTAAAATGAAACGAAATGTTTTGTATATCCGGTAGAAAAATATTACGGAAACACATGGAGCTAATGTTATATAAATATTACAGCGATAATATTCTAAAGTAAACGTTTGGCAAATATTTCAAATGTCTGGTAAATAATTACAGAATGTACGATATTCGTTAAATAGATATAGAAAATATATGACAAATATTTTGTGCTACTAGGGTGAATACAAATGAAGAAGAGCTGAAATATTGGAGTAACCGCGTGAAAGTATATATCGAGCAAGGCGGTAATTTCAACGCATGCGCATATATTCCAGTATTTGTTAATGGACTGGTAATCATAGCTGCTGTAGTAGCTTCTAATCGGCGCATTATTTCCCGGGGGTATTGGCTATCCAGTTAAGATAGGGATCGTTGGAAGAGAGAGAAAGGGTGACAAGGCACCTTCTTTGTATATCCCCCTTTCATTTCCATTGTCTTCATAGTCGGATTAGCGCGTAGAGTCCACACGTCTTACGTGGTCCATGGTCTCCGCCCTCTTTCTTCCTAGTCTAAGAGATCCACCTCTTCGAGCAGGAAGATACGACGACCTCCTCCCGCGAGGAGAGGCTACGGGCGAACCTCTCGCGTTCTCACTTTCCACCTTCCAGGTGTTACCCGGAATGAGTTATCGCCGTCTCGGCGGTATTAATCGAACCCGTCTTATAAAATCATCGACTCCCCCGTTTATATACCGACTTTCACCGACGGACGCGGTGCCGTGGCGGGTCCGTTTACCCCCGGGAGTCCCGCGGCGTCGGTTCGGGAAATCGAGTCGAGAACCCACCCGAGGATGGGACGTCGCCGAACATCGGGGCGAGGGTCCCCGGGGGGGCCTTCGACACGGGGAACAATTACGAGTTCGTCGA